AATCCGTGCCAGGTGCAGGGTCTGCTGGCTGGGTGCTGGCAGGCTTGCACCTGGCACGGGCACCGTAGCCAGCCTGTGCCCCTTGTCCGGGGCCGGGAGGGGGGCATAGAGTTTCCCTGGTGTTGGCCAGAGTGGCCACCAGGGGAACCTGGGGAGGGCTAGCCTCCCACTAGTTCGAATTAAGGGGCTACACACCCCTTAATTCGAACTAGTAAGTTCGAACTAGGCTTAATCCTCGTAAAATGAGGTTTTCCTAGTTCGAACTAAGCGCTCCGCTAGTTCGATTTAAATTCGAACTAGCGGAGCACTAGTGTAGCGCCTATGAATTTTAGTTCGAACTAACGTCCGTTAGTTCGAACTAACATTGTAGTGTAGACATACCCAAAAAGAAGTTTTTCTTCATGCAGTGCACAGTCAACCTGTGGAACTCCTTGCTAGAGGATGTTATGAAGACCAGATTTTTAACAGGGTTCAACAAAGAACTAGATACATTCATGGAAGTTAGATCCATCAATGGCTATTAGCTGGGATGGTGTCCCTAACCTCTGTTAGTCAGAGGCTGGAAATGGATGACAGGAGAGGGATCATGTGATGATTACCTATTCTGTTCACTCCCTCTGAGGCATCTAGCATTGGCCACTGTTGGAAGACAGGATATTGGGCTAGATGGACCTCTGGTCTGACCCAGTCTGGCCATTCTTATATTCTTATATCTATAGTAGTGATGGATGAATCTCACAAGGTCTTTTTTCCAGTTCCGTAACCCAAAAAGAGCCTCTCTTTCCCATGTTGTCCTTGCCTTAAATTTCTCACTGTGCTATTTTAATTCAATTGTTGATTAACAATTCCTGATGATTGTAGCCGCGCGGCACGGGGTTCGCACTAGCCGGGTTTTAAAAATGGCGGCGCCGGCTTTATGCTAATGAAGCCCGGGAAATTCAAATCCCGGGCTTCATTAGCAAGTTCGGTATGCATACATTACCCCCCTAGTTCGAACTAGGGGGGTAGTGTAGACATACCCTAAGTCTGTTCCCTGAAGTAAGGATTGGCAAATACACTATGCTCCTGCTGGCAGCATTTCACCGCTTTCCAGAACGACAATGACATAGCACCACACCCTGCTGTTTTATTTTTCAAGACTGCCTTTCTCCACAGTCCCTGAGAAGTGCACCGTCTTTTGCAGCAGAAACACAAAGTTCCTTCGATCTGACTCACTAGTTTGAGGGAAGAGATGACAAACTGTTTATGAAAAACCCTAATCAGGTACTTGATGATGCACAGACAAAGGCCCACCAACAGTTACCCCTTCTAGGACATATCTTATGACAGATGCACAAGCTCTGGGAGAAGCTATAGGAAAGCCATCTGGAGCCAAAGCATGTGGAGACCTTGCAGGCACATTTGTAAGAACAGTACTGAGGACAGGAGCAGACTTCCTCCGTACAGACATTGTGTTTGATAGGCACTACAAGGATTCTGTAAAGGGTGGGGCAGTGCAAAAATCCTAAAGGGATACAACACCCAGGCAAAGAGTGGTTGGAGTCAAATACGTGCATCTCCCAAGAAACTGGATGAATTTCATCAAGGTTCCAGAAAATAAGGAGACCTTTGAAACATTTGTATATATGCTACTAATGACACAAACTGGGTACAACCAAATAATCACTCGAGCTAGCGGCTTTCAGGATGAGGATGAAATAGAGTACTCAACAGCAACAGTTGAAACCAATAAAGTGTGTACTCATCAGGAAGAAGCGGACACAAGAATGATTTTACACTCTCCACAGTGGCAGTGTGGTTGTTGCAGTCAGAGAGGTAGGGTTTTTGGAGGCAGAGGGCAAGGGTGATTGGTATAACAAACTGACATGTATGTGTAGGCCAGTGCAACTTGTTTGTACAGGAGCATGCAAATGTTGAAAACTGGAACAAAGATGTGTCAATGTATGTGACAGTTATTTATTTGATTGTACTGCCCTGGTGAACTATGTGATAATATGCAATTCAGTCTGCCACTATATACCAAAGTTTCTTGACATAGGACAACAGTAACATGTGTGCTTATCGTGTGTGCATTAACATGTTTACTGAGGGCTCAGTCAAGACATATTTTCACTTGTTTTAAAAGCAGGTGTTTTCAGATGGTGTACTGTGTTTCTGATAGTTAAAACAACTTGAATGCTTTTGTTTCAAGGGGCAAATGTTCATGAAGATCCAACCAAAGCATGTTAATCCTAGACAAAAACCCCTAGTCTACATTAGGCGAGAAGTTCGAATTAAGATACGTATCTCCAGCTCCTCGTAGGAGCAGGACTACTGGCATCCACAGGAGTGCCCTCTCAGTTCGAATTTGTGTTGAGTGAAGAGACACTAATTCAAACCCCAGAAGATCAAATGCGGCTGCTTCAGCCTTATCTGTAGTGTAGACGTGGCCAAAAGAAGTAAAAATTTACGCTCCAGCAATTTCTGTTACTTTGTTTTTGAAGCCTTTACACACAACATACAGATTGGTGGCAATCGTATTTGGATTCAGCACACCCTAAAAAGAATTGTTACAACCTTTTCACAAAAAATGCCTCTCACAATGAACTTTTTGTAAATCTGACTAATCAATTGCTCAAGAAGCAGAAATTTTGTCTCTCATGAAAAGCATCCATTTTATCTATGAAATATTAACTAAAGTAAAACAAATGCCAAATTAAAACATTTTGTAATATGTGTTTATAGTAAAGTACTTAAAGGGGGAAAAAATGACAATGTGAACTAAATGTGAAAAATCAGCCTGAGCTCAACTACTTTAAGTAACATTAATAAGAAAGCAGTTAAGCACGTTAGTGTCAAATGCCCTGGCTTTTGTCAGCTTTAAATCAAACTCTTAATATTATTTAAACATAGAAGCCATATCTAATACAATATTAAACTATTTCACGGAGTCAAGAATTTGAACGAGTCCTTACTTACCTTAGTGATAAAACATGTGTGTAAAATCAAATGCAGCCTAACATTAAACAGAACTCATGACCCATGCTTTTCTCATGGTTCTAAGGCCCATTTTTCAACTGGCCTCTAAAAACTGTTTGTAGTATAAGTGAACAAGTCCTTTTTCATGTTTATGTTGATTAATTGCAAATGCAGGGATCCAGTTTTTCAATCTGATTCTATTTATGTATGTGCAAAGAGAAAGTGTTCAGTGTGTAAGCCAAAGTACCTGCAATTAAAATGGACATCGTTTTACTTCTTATGTTTGTGGCAGTAGTAATTAATAACTCTAATTATAGAAGGTTAGCCTTATTAGTCTGTAACTTTAAAAACAACATTCTGTCGCACCTTAGAGACTAATGAAGATATAGGATTTTGTCAGTCTCTAAGGCTATGCCTACACAGCAGCGTTATTTTGGAATAACTGACGTTATTCCGAAATCACAAAGAGCACATCTGCACAGCAAGCCGTTATTTTGAAATAATGCCGAACTGGAGGACTTCTTACTGCAACTCCTGTAACCCTCATTTCATGAGGAGTAAGGGAAGTCGAAGGAAGAGTGTTCTTCCCTCAACATCCTGCAGTGTAGACAGCGCCAAAAGCCAAGTTAAGCAATTTCGAATTCAGCTATGCAATTGACATTGCTGAAGTTGCGCAGCTTAATTCGACTTTTGCCTTGCTGTGTAGACGTGCCCTAAGTTGCCACAGGACTACTCATTGTTCTTAACTCTAACCACAGACAAGGTACCATGCAAACATAACAAAAAGACAATGAATTTGCTAAATGAATAGACACCTTAGAAGGTGATGCTCCTCCCTCAGTCTTGAATATGATGCAATGGGATGACTCTCCATAATGAATACATTGGTGTTATCAGAGTAATAATAAGCTTGATGGGAATAGTATTAATTGATTTTTTTTTCTTTTGTTTTGTATGCAGGCATATTACAGGCAAGTTTCCTGACTACCCTAATAAAGAGGAGGGAGGTTCAACTGCTATTTTTTCTGACAAAACTCCAGAACAGGTATTATAATACTTCTCCCTACTCAAAAAGAGATAAAATGGTGAGAGATTGAAGCTCAAAAAACTAAGGCTACGTCTACACTGGCATGATTTTCCGAAAATGCTTTTAACTGAAAAGTTTTCCGTTAAAAGCATTTTTGGAAAAATCGCGGCTAGATTGGCAGGATGCTTTTCCGCAAAAGTACTTTTTGTGGAAAAGCGTCCGTGGCCAATCTAGACGTGGTTTTCCGCAAAAAAGCCCCGATCGCCATTTTCGCGATCGGGGCTTTTTTGCGGAAAACAGTACTATGCTGTCTACACTGGCCCTTTTGCGCAAAAGTCTTTCGGAGAAAGACTTTTGCCAGAACGGGAGCAGCATAGTATTTCCGGAAAAGCACTGATGATTTTACATGAGATCGTCAGTGCTTTTCCGGAAATTCAAGCGGCCAGTGTAGACAGAAAAATTTGCGGAAAAATTTGCCAGTCTAGACACAGCCCAAGTGTTTACTCCTATCCCAGTGAGTTTTTATAGCAATGGTTTCCATTGGTCTAAATTTTTTTGGCTTACATTTGTTATTGGGATGAGAATGGCTGTGCACTCTAAGTAAGCAAATGTAGTGTTTTCATTACTCCTGTGCCTTTATAAGCAGAGATTCATTCACATGTAGCACACACAGCTACTAAGACTAAGAAGTGTTTTAGAAGAATTACACCAGGTTAATCACAATGAATTTTTTAAAATTGATTTATTTGAACTGATACAAACCCTCAATGTAGAAACATTTCATCCCATTTAAATCTAGTTTAAAGCTGTTTAGTTTGCATCAGTAAAATACCAAATTAGCTAAACCATTTTAGGAAAGGATAAAACTGGTATGTCCCTACTACAGTAGGTGTCTGCACTAGTCTAACTAGATTGATTTCAAAATATTTAGTTAAACCAGATAAATGTTTCTAATATACACCAGGCTTAGGTTGCTTCAATTTACTGCCCCTGGCAATAAAAAGGTTTAAGTTAAAGTGAGGGAAGAGGCTTAGTTTATTTTACACCTTTTTGCAAACCCTTTTCTGGCCTCTCTGGCTAATAAAAGCAAGTTTGTCATCTCTCTCCTTAGCCATCAAGGTGTCACAAGGAGAATGCGATTAAGCTCAGCTAGCACAGCAAAGGCAGAGGTTAACACTCAGAGCCATTTCCTCCTCCAAAAGTGAACTCAGCTAAACGATGAATCTGTTGGCGAAATAACCCTTGGGAACGCCTGTCCATGACAGTAGAATTTGACCCACCAAGCGAACCAGACTGGCTGGGCTACTAGTGGGCTAAGGGGAAAAAAAATACAATTTGATGTCTAGTTATTAAAATAAAGTCTCTCTATTCCTGAAGATGATTGTCTTTAGTAACTGCATGCAATTGATTATTTTATTTAATGAAATGATAATGAATCATTAGTTAATGGTTTTCAGAAAAGCCAACAGAAAAGCCAAGGATAGGTCAGTGGTAAATATTTCTGCTTTTCACAAGTGTCAATCGTGACTTGCCTAGTCAGTTATTCTGCTCAGAATAAGGAAAATCATGAGCAGTGGGTGTCTGTACCTCGCCAAAACAGCAGTTTGACATACGTTAGCCAGCTCACGGCTCGCCCGGGGCCGCCCGGCCGTTTGCTCGGTCCCAGACAGAATCAGGAAAAACAGTCTGTGAAGTTTTTCAGGTTTTAAAGTAGAAACACATGCTGAAGTCAAGAGGGCTTTGTAGGCTGTTCTAAGCAGCGGGGCGCTGCCCAGCAGGCATTGCTTATTATTAGGGATGGCTTCAGGGTAATTAAACCTGCCCTGCCAACAAAAAGAACAAACAATATTCAAAAAGAAAATATGAAGGGAAATGGGACCAAGCAACACTGATGTGCAGTAAATGTTGGAGTACGTTTCCCCCCTTAATTCCTGTCTTCATTCATTTTGCTATGTTTCTTGGGCATCTGCTTCTTCACTGCATTAGAAATGTAGGCATTCTAAAACCTGAAACAACAGTCGGAGAGATTGTTTTACTATCTGCTTTCTCCCTTCATTAAAGGAAACAATCTAGACAGTGCTTGGTCCCGCCATGAGGGCAGGAGACTGGACTTGATGACCCTCGAGGTCCCTTCCAGTTCTAGTGTTCTATGATTGATCTATGATTGATTGAATACAGACGTAAAATACACTGATTTCTGTTGGCAGCATTATCATAATTATCAGATTCAACTTAATCACTACCTTCATTCTTCTCCTTAAAGCCCAATAACAGTGATCAAAATACGGCCCCTGTTCTCTCAAATATTCAGAATATATTTGCCCTGCAGAGAGGGTACTGAACTATATGGGTATGTCTACACTACCCCGCTAGTTCGAACTAGCGGCGTAATGTAGGCATACCACACTTGCAAATGAAGCCCGGGAAATTCAAATCCCGGGCTTCATTTGCAAGTGCGGTATGCCTACATTACCACTCTAGTTCAAACTAGGGTGGTTAATGTAGGCATACCGGAGTTGCAAATTAAGCCTGGGAAATTCAAATCCCGGGCTTCATTTGCAAGTGCGGTATGCCTACATTACCACTCTAGTTCAAACTAGGGTGGTTAATGTAGGCATACCGGAGTTGCAAATTAAGCCTGGGAAATTCAAATCCCGGGCTTCATTTGCAAGTGCGGTATGCCTACATTACCACTCTAGTTCAAACTAGGGTGGTTAATGTAGGCATACCGGAGTTGCAAATTAAGCCTGGGAAATTCAAATCCCGGGCTTCATTTGCAAGTGCGGTATGCCTACATTACCACTCTAGTTCAAACTAGGGTGGTTAATGTAGGCATACCGGAGTTGCAAATTAAGCCTGGGAAATTCAAATCCCGGGCTTCATTTGCAAGTGCGGTATGCCTACATTACCACTCTAGTTCAAACTAGGGTGGTTAATGTAGGCATACCGGAGTTGCAAATTAAGCCTGGGAAATTCAAATCCCGGGCTTCATTTGCAACTTCGGTTGCCTACATTAAACACCCTAGTTCGAACTAGGGTGGTAGTGTAGACATACCCTGAATGAATTCACTTCCTGGCTGTCAGATACACAAGTTAAGGATTTTGTGTTTGTCTGTTTCAACACACCATTGAAGCTTGAGCTGTTCTTGTTCAATTCTGGCACTGTGAATAAGTCAATGGGAGGTACCTCCTGAGAATAGGGGGGTTACTTTCAAGCTGAAAACCTCCATGAAAAACAAAGACAGGATTTTATTTAAAAGTGAATATTTGACAAGCCTTGAGTAAAGACACTTCAGGGAAACTGAAATAAAAATGAATCATTTCACAAACCATTGCTACATTCAATATTTCTTTGTCCTTTGATAACTGCAGTCTTATTTGACTTTATAACATAGCCCGGTACTTCTGCACAAACTATACTTTCGTCCTTAGAAGGTAATTTTGTGTATATATTTAACGAGCAGACAAATAAATCATAAAGTGTGCCAAAAGTGGTCCAGTAAGAACTTTTCTGGCTATTTATTTCGTGAAAACTATCTGATTTCCTTGTTGAAAACAGGCTTTTGTCCCTAAAGGAAATAATTAAGATGTTGGTGAAAGTCAATATAATCTCAGTGCGTCTGTTTCAGATTTTTATCTCCTATGTCTTTTAAATCCTTCTATGAAGGCAAGTTTTGCCTTTCTCTTTATACTATTCCCAACAAAATGACAATTTGTTTCTGCAGTCAATCCCTTTTTAATAAATGACTCTTCGTTAGTAGTAACCCCTTTGAGTTGCTATCCAGAAATCACATCCACCCTTCAATCTCAGCATTCAGAAGCTTAAGAAATAAAAGAACCTGCTTCCTGGGTTTTGGTTGCAAATTCTAGTTATGTGTTAAGAACAGAAAGTCCATTCTGAATGACTGTAATTTCAGCTTTATAACATGCTGGCAGTAATAGGAGGGGGCCGGATTATGTGCTCTCTGCTGTGCAAACACATGTACGTCATTCTGACTGGGGGCTTTTCGCAATACCACAATACAAGTGATCATCACCATTATTATTATTAGTCAGCCCCATGAAACTAAAATAGCTCATCTATTCAGACAGTCGGTTTGTACACGTACAAATAGCTTTAGCTACCCCATATGAAAGGCTCAGTTTGGAGAGTTAACTTAGATTTTACCAAAATGTCTTGAACCACATTATTTTTGTAGGTGTTAATGTAATCAAATATTGAAACAGTCACGCATGCACCATACAGAATGTTCTGTTCGCTTGCTAAGTAATACTTCGAACGGGCAGGCCGAAAATGTGACAGACAGATTTTGATTCACAATAGAACAATGTCTTCCCATCACCAGCTCTGCAAATGCATGTTAGCCTGACCTCCGACATGAGGTTCAGGCAGCGAACACAGACAGAAAATTGTTCCAAATTGCATCGGCCCAGATTTTCCACATATCCCCCTGATTACGAGTGCCCAACGCAAGAAACGTGCTGATCATGAAAACCCCAGGCACTGCAGCTGCTCAGCACATCAGGACCCCAATACCTCAAGTTAGCCGCACAGAAAACAAGGCATCCAAAGTTTCAAGTGTTTTCTGGGGGGGAGGCAAAGACCTAAGCGAGGTGCACTTGTGAGTTAAACCAGATGTGGACAGTGTCTGCACAACTAACGACTACTGTGGTAACCTGCCATTGATCATCAAGTGTGGCAACCCCTCCCCATGCAGACTTTGCAAATTCCAGGACAACACACCAAATCCTACTCAACATCTTGGGTCTATCCCTGCCAGGTACAAATCCCGGTGGCTGCTTTTAAAGGTTTAAAAGCTTAGGGTTTGTTTGTAAATGCACACCAGAGTATAAACAGTGTTCAAACGTGCCTTGCCAAGAGCAAACAAAGTTAAACGGAGCTCAGGGAATTCATTCCTCAAACGGAGTGACTCCAAAGTGCTAACTACAAGTAGCATGATGGGATTTTGAGGCTTCCAGTTCTGCCATACTTAGTGGAGATATGACTATCCTAAGTGTCATGAATAAGAGATACATGATGGGCCTGCATATCAAAGGATCTGTAATGCAGGTTCTTTAGGCACAGGAAGCATTTAACAAGATCTGTATGGTGCACACAACAAACACAGGAGAAAGGGTGGATGGTCCAGTGGCAGGCACTCACCTGGGAGTGAGGCAATCCGGGGTCAATCCATATGCTATCACAGGCCTCCTGGATAAATGTGGACAAGCCTCTGAGGGTGAAATTCACAAGGGGGCCACTGGCAGTGGTTACTACTTGCACCAGGCATCTGTGTAGTCCTGTATCTAGATGAATGGCTACTTTAGGTCCATTGATGGCCAGGATTAGAAGAGTCACTCTGGGGCACCTGGCATTGGCCACTGCAGGAGGACAGGAAACTGGGCTAGCTGGAACCTTTGGTCTGACCCAATGTGGCCATTCTGATGTTCTTATGTTCACTCGCTCCGTGCAGAGTCCCTAGGTCACAGAGGAAAGCGAGAGATGATTATTCCTGCACCGTTAATTGTGTGACTTAATCCCCTGTTCAGCTTTTAAAAACCTCAACCAAGATTCTTATTCTTCTCCCCGGATAAAGTTGGACCAACAAGACAGAAGAACAGTACAAGTGAATACTATTGCAGCAGGCTGATGAATACAGAAAGTCTGTTCAAGCTCTTTCAATATTACAGTACTCACATTTATAAAAACCTATCTCTATCTTTAATCATAGTTTGGAGAGACTTTACTTTTAAAATCATGCCAGTGGAGCTCAGAAGTTCTGCCCACAATTAAAATCTTTGGTAGCTTTCATGCAGAGTTACAGAAATTCCCACTAAACCGACCAGTTCCAGAGTTGATTCTCAATGTTACAGTTATCCTTTGGGCCCCTAGGAAACTATTTCAAAATTAGCAAATTCGACTTAACTCCCAATTTAACAAAATCAAACTAGTGTGTCCACACTACAGGGAAGCCTTGACATTAGTCCGAGGCAGGCTCTGTTAATGTGCACGTGCTACCTCGGACACAGAGCCCCAGGAAGAACTGCAGAGTAATTAGCTTGAATTACTCTGGGGATTAGTTATTTCAAAATAACGCACCGGTGCGTCCACACTACCATTATTTCGAAAGAACTATTTCGTTATGAGCATTACTCCTAATGAAAAGCAGGAGTATCAATTTCTAATTCCACAGCCCATTATTTCGAAATAATGGGTTTGGTCGTGTGGATGCTCCACTTATAAATTCAACCTTGGGGGGTTATTTCAAAATAAAGTCCTAGTGTAGACCAGGGCTTACTTACTACAGTATTCAGATTCGGGGTCAGAGGTAGAGGTAGTAGTCTGGACTTTTGGCATCATACTACCATATCAATTAGGAAGATGTTTTGAGGACCCTTTGTTGATTTGAGAGATAACAGCGTACCTGGGACAATCAAAGCCCATTTTGAGCTCCAGTCACTCTATTAATCTAGCCAGAAAAATGAAATGCTTCATTGCTTATCAACACTAGACATGACTGAATGGACTTGGGGTTTAAATTACCATATTTAATTAAATGTAAGATACTGAAATGCTTGGGGAAATCCACTAATGAGATTCCACTGACTGTAATGCCCAGCCATGTCTATTTTCCTCCTTCTCTTTCCACTGTGAGGTCTTTATGGCATCTTTAAAAGGCATCCTTCAGAAAATATAGATGACTGTTAAAGGCGATGTTTGTTTTAGTCTCAGAAATATTCTGTCTTCTCGGTTTTATCTTTCCTGTCTTGTCAGCATTTTAAAAATGCACCTCAGCATCAGTGTCACGGAGCTTGTATTTCATCATTACCACTGGATAACTGACACGAGAATTAAATCTCCAGCCGTGCCTATATGTACTGTTTTAACCTTCTCTACAGTTCGGTTGCAGGGGCAGACTCTGGGGTGGGGGTGTAGGAGGCGGTTCCTGTCTGGGAGGTTCAGAAAGCCGGTGGGGGCTCTTGGACGGGGGTTGGAGTTTGGGGAGTTTGAATGGGGTAGGAGTGGAGATGAGGGATTTGGGGTGCAGGAGGATGCTCCAGGCTGGGGCTGAGTAGTTTGTAGTGCAGCAGGAGGATAAAGTCTAAGGCAGGGGAGCAGGGTGAAGTCTCCAGCTAGGGGTGCAAGATGGTGCTCCAAGCTGGGACTGAGGGGTTCACAGGGCGGCAAGCGGGATCAGGACTGAGTGGGACCGGGAGGAGGTCAGGGGGCCAGCAGCACTTACTTCAAGCCGCTCCTAGATGCAGCTGGCATGTCTCCCCTCTGGCTCCTTCGTGAAGGCCTGGACAGGTGACTCTGTGTACCACCCTGCCCACAGGTGTCACCCCCACCACTTTCATTGGCCGTGGCTCCCAAGCAGTCAATGGCCTGGTGCTGACCGGAATCTGACCAGGTGTTCCAGTCGAAAGCCAGACTCTTCACCTGAATCAGGGAAGAAAAACCAACTGTGTAACGTAAAGCAGCTTACATTTGTCTTTGCTGAATTTCACTTGGTTGTCTGTAGCCCAGTTCTCCAATTTATCAAGGTCCCTTTGAATTTTAGCTCTGCCCTTGTACGTGTTTGCTTTCTCCCCAGCTTTGTGTCTTCTGCAAATTTGACCATTCCTACGTCCTGGTCATTAATAAAAAGGTTCAATAGCACCCGCCTCAGAACAGATCCCCGTGAGACCCACCTACAATATTCCATTCACAGCTATCCTTTACTTGTGGTTGCTCGTTCTTTAGTCTATCCCACTCCTATTGTGTGCATAAGGCTGTTGCAAAATGTGGCTTTGCAAGCCCTTTGTTGAATTGTGGGGGAAGAGATTCTATCGAGCTGTAGCAAGTCAAGTTTTCAACACCTGTTTGAAGCCAAAAAGTAGCTGCAGCTGACGGAAGTCTAGGATTGCACATTGCAAAATGCCTCGTAAGACACGTTGGAACAACATATTTTTGGAAAGTGCTGCAGTGCTAGTTTTCAGCACACTGCAGAAGAGTTGTAACAGCCAGATTAGCAAGTCATGAACTCCACCAATTTACACAGGACACTATTAAGATGGAGAAAAGAAGCAAGCCTGAGGCAAGACCCCAAATGATTCCTGGTTTCCCTTTTTCTCCTGAGAGTTCAAACATGGAGGGTACTTGGAGCCAGTGGGAGGGTAAGGGAAAGGAACTATTAAAACAGAAAAAAGGGAGAAAAATAGAGAGAGGGAGAATCACAGAAAGAATAATATAGGAGATGAACCAATGCACATAAAACATATGCACATGTGTGGGGAATAAAGGGAGGCAAGGGGGACAGAGAACAGCATAAAGAAACTAAGAATTAAGACCCAACACCTTTACAACTAGTAAAATACAATGAGCCAAGTCCTTAGCTGTCAAAAATTGGCTCTATTGATTTTAACGAAGCTATACCAGTTGACAATCCGGATCTCTGAGTTTATGTTTCTATGTAGTGTTTGTCTTCAGACAAATACCCTTACCAAGAGGGTGCAGTATTCAGCAAGATACTGAAGCAAGACATCCAATACATCCCTAAAGGAAAGATCTCAAAATCCATCTGCTTTGAAAACACCGGGCCAAATTCTGAGTGGAGTCCAAAATTAGAAGGGGGTCTAAGGTTGTGCATTTTTTTCTTGCTGCTGGGCCGATGGATATGCAATAACTCTGGGAGGAATTCAGGATGTTGCTGCAGTCTATAACACCCCAAATGGTGTGGGACCTAGTTACCTCAGAAATCACCCCTCTTCCACAGTATATTGCCCCAGGTGATATGAAGAGAGATTTTCAGGTTGGAGCTCCCGCCGTGTGACAGGGGTCTCCCAGCAGGGGGTTCTCAGTGAGGGGTTCTGTGCTTTGGAACATGCTCACCAAACCCCCTGGGTCTGCCAAAACCTAGATGTGTTACCCTTCTGGGCATGCTACAAAGCCCATTTTAAGAGCAGGTTAGATAGACATCTATCAGGGATGTTTTAGACAGTGCTGGGTCCTGCCATGAGGGCAGGGGACTGGACTTGATGACATCTCGAGGTCCCTTCCGGTTCTAGAGTTCAATGATTCTATGATCTTTTACCTCTCTTCTCTAAAGCTGCTGGAAAGGGGCCAGGATTGCAGTGGACACACTAACAGGAAATCATTTGCTGATTTTTGTGGTTTTAATCATCGGGGGTATGTCTACACTACCCTCCTAGTTCGAACTAGGAGGGTAATGTATGCATACCGCACTTGCTAATGAAGCCCGGGATTTGAATTTCCCGGGCTTCATTAGCATAAGCGGGGAGCCTTTTTTTTTTTAATTTTTAACAGTCAAATAACAAAACAAAACATTGCAAAGTGCAAACGTGTAAAAGCTAACAAAAAAGGGGGAGGGGGCGGCCAAACATTTTTTTGCTTGGGGCAGCAAAAAATCTAGAGCCAGCCCTGGCAGAGAGGTCAAGGATCTTTAAAAAAAAAACTCCATGTTTTTTGCCGCATCTGGAAAATGGTGTTGCATAGCAACTCCAGACATTTTGTTCTGCTCTCCTCAGTGAGAAGTGGACTGGCTGTTTTCCTAATCCTTTGTGGTTTAAGTTTGAAGTTAATCTGTATGGGTATGTCTACACTACCCCGCTAGTTCGAACTAGCGGGGTAGTGTAGACATACCCCGGGATAGGGATCCAGAGGACAGACTGAGTGCTTGCAATTACATTTTGGCCATGTAAAATAAATAACATCACTCAGTTTATACTCATTTGCATGTCTTAAAGTCTCAGAGGGGTAGCTGTGTTAGTCTGTAATCCTATAGCACCTCAGTCCTGGTCTACTCTAGGGAATTATTTTGTAGTAACCCCCCTTATTCTGAAATAGTAAGTGGAGCGTCCACACTACCCAGCCTGTTATTTTGAAATAACGGGTTGGTTACTTTGAAATCTGCTTTCCTCGGGGAATGCGCTTATTTGAAATACTATTCCAAGAGTTATTATTTTGAAATAATTTCCTAGTGTAAACATGCCCTTCTACAGACTAACAAAAATATATGTATAGTATCATGAGCTTTCTTGGGCAAACCCCACTTCCTCAGATGGGATTTGCCCATGTAAGCTCATGATACATATATTTTTGTTAGTCTCGAAGAGTACGTCTACACTATAGGACAAAGTTGAATTAAGATACACAACTTCAACTACGTTAATTGTGTAGCTAAAGTCGAAGTAGCTTAATGCAAATTTTTTGTACTGTCTACACAGCAGGATGTCAAAGGAAGAACACTCTCCCTTCGACGTCACCTGCTTCTCGGGAAAGCAGGGTTACCAACATCGACCGGCGTGCCCCTCTCACTTCAAATTAGCTGTATTCCCTAAACCCGCTAATTCGAACACTAGAAAATCGACAGCAGCAGCTTCGATCTTTCTCTGTAGTGTAGACGTTCCCTATGGTGCTATAGGACTATTTGTTTTTTATACTCACTAACAGCCACTTAGCAATGGGTAACTTCTTTGAAAATAGGGATCAAATCATGAAAAAAGCACAAGAAAGTAAAACTGAAGGAGGGAGAGAAATATCAAATCATGACCCGTTCTGAAGGTGAACATTTATTTCACGTTGGCAAAAACATCCATTATCCTGATGCCTGTACTTTAATATTCCTTATATTTAAAGCCTCAAGATGATGTTGCTTTGACTCTCTCCTAGGTCCTAGCTGAGCTAGCTGCGAAAGAAGAAGAAGCAGCCCTAAAGAAAACATCCAAAGAGAAGGGGAAGAAAGAGAAAGGGAAAAAGAAAAAGAAAAAGAAAGGGAAAGAAAAGGGGAAAGGAAAAGAAAAACCAGGAAGCAAGGATACCGTAAGGCATTTTAAAATGTGAATTTGGTTAGTAGTTGGTTATCGCATTGAAAGCTTCAGGCCTGTTGCAATCCATGAGGGATCATTCATTCAGGGTTTCGGAGTGTAGACAAAATGACTTGCCACCAGTAATTCTCCCACTTATAGGAGAGCTGGAAGCGGACATGGTCCTCACACATCTTACTTCATCGAGTTTGGTGGCAATGGACACTTTATTAAGGCTTCAAAAACCAGAGCTGTGGTCTGGGAGGGTTTGTGCCTATATCTGCGGCAAGGGCTGGAGGAGGTCTGAGTCTTGCAAGCTGACTCAGCTACTGCGGGCCAGCTGCAGGATTTTAATATCAGGGCAGTGTTCTCTCTAATCTTTTTCATTCGTGTGTGGATTTTTCCCATCCATGTGCAGAATAATTGTTATGTGCACCAAAGCATGTGGAAATGTGCACCACCAACAGAAATACAAAACCTAGCTGTGGGTGCTCTGATAAGCCACTGGATGGCGTTTAAACCTCTCCTGAGCAGCTGCACAAGCGCACAGTTTACAGGGAACATGAAGCATAGAGTAGACATTTGGGTTTGGGCCAGTGTCACGGCTCACAGGTCATGCCCACACTTGGCCCCTCGGCTCCCAGGCAGAACCCCCCTCTCAAGTGTGGCAGTCCCTTCTCGGGGAGCCCACTCTTACCTGGGGGGTCCGCCCCTCCACCTCCGGGATGGTGCCTCTCAGGGCCTTCAGCTGCCTGCCTCCGCCGTGAGCCCCACGAAAGCTCATGGTCCCATCTACATGTTTCGTTAGTCTATAAAGTGCTACCAGACCATTTGTTGCTTTGCCCTTTCCTGGTTACTCTTTGAGGCCAGTTTGCAGTCATGTCTAGTAAAAAAAAAATTAAAAATATTACAATAATAATCCAATTTTTAAGTTATTTAATAAATACTTAACAATCTTCATCTGTAAAAGTTCAGGTGAAAATGTAACCATGGATATAAAGAGGTACAATAAAACTCCAATAGTCTGGCATCCAATTGTACGGCACTCCCGACAGTCCGGCATCAAAATGGCAAGAGCCTAGTGAGCGAGCTTCGGCAAAAAATGAGTCACAAGGCAGCAGCGGCAGCAGCTGCACCAAGTGAAACCGGATGGGACCGAGTCAGTCTGCCACTGGCATTGTATGACGCTGGACAGTGCTTGTCCTACAATAAAAAGAGTTAAAAACACTTTTTTTACATTATATACTGTATATATATAACCATCTTATAGTACCTCCTGATAGTCCTGCATATCTGATAATCTGGCACCACCTAGGTCCCAAAGGTTCCGGACTATTGGAAGTCTACTGTACTTACAATTGATAATCCATGCTAAAGAAAGTAAAAACAGAGTTAAAATATGGAGAAATGTGTATAATATAAATATAATAGGATACTCTGAATGGAGCTACGGATCACTGTTTGTCACCGAACACAGCCATCAAGTTGACATGGTGGACAACATGAGTCTACATAAATTTTCCTTCAAATTCTTTCCTCTCTCAATCCCAATGAGCCTTAATAATTCATCATTATCTTGGCCCTATTTGCCTCGAGCCCCAGTTAAGAGGCCAAAAAGGTGGACATTTCTACTCCCAGGCTGTTCTTTAATATCCTCCACCAAATTGGAGTAATAGGACCCTAAAATATGAGCTCTTTTCACCTCAAATCATTCATAGGCTAAATTTATGTTTTTGCTAACAAAATTGCTAGAAGGTTAAACTCCCTGAAGCCTTTGAAAGGCTCAGATTCTTTTGCTCCAAGGTAAGTCTCCAATTGGCTTTTTTCGATAGTAGGTTCATGGAAGAACACACTGGACAAATGATATACCAACCAGAAGTTTGAGATGGATTTTAGCTGCATTGTCTTAATTTTAAACATACGGTACAATTGGAATTTTTGGCTTTTACAGCAACAGAAACTTATGTTGCTTGTGAGCATTCTAGAGTAAACAACATTCACGATTTCTTTTTTTTTTTGTAGATACCATTAACCTCTAAGTGATCATTATCACTGAGTAGCCCAGACATTCCCTCACTGTAAACTCTTTTGAAGAGAAGTTATACTTTTAGTTCTAACTGGGGGACACTCATGTAAATGAACACTGGGGTTTCTAAGGCAACGTCCCTCAAGCTGGCTGAAACCATAGTAACATCTGGCCACAAGACTAAACTAAGTGAAATAAAGAAGTGTCAATCTTCCTAATTTAGAGGTTATCAGATCCTGACCCGTAACTCGGGAGCATCCATTCACAGCATATTGTAGGTAGCTGTCCTCGTATTCTGAAAAGTCCCAACATATCTTATTCAAATAAATGCAGGCCAAAAGTCACAGTGATGCAGTCCAACGAGGCCTTGTTCCTAACTTCAGGTTTTTTAAGAAAACAATATTGTGATGCCAGGAGATTTAAATATTCCTTAAGTCTGATAATGATCTTTAGAAATATGCATTTGAAAGCAAAATAACTTCATTTTCTTCCCTGCTAAGTGCTGATGTGATTTCCCATTGGGCACTAAGAAAAAACATAACAAAAACCTAGCACAGTATAATCCCTCTTCAAAAATGTCTTATTTTTTTGACTTTTCAAGACAGATGTTGAATCATTTGGAACTATTTACCGTGGTAATATACTGGATACTGGCGTTGCTCAGGAGACAGGAATATGGCAGTATTCTCTCTAGAAATTTCATCCAGCCATATTGATCTGAAAGCACCAGTCAGCCTCAAGGAGATCCACAGTCAAAATCTCTTCCCTGTGACCAGGAATCTGTAGCCAAACAGGCCAGTGGAAATCAATTCAGATTCTTCGCAGTGTGGAGTGCCCCATGCAGCTGCATCTGTGGAGAGAGTCAAGCACAGACGTAGTGGTCAGCCATTCATTACTCCCTATTGGTGGCTGGATTGAAACTGGCGTTATCCGATCAAGGTGCCCCACCACAGTTAACACAACACTGACTCAGCTTTTCTATCATCTGAGGTAGAAAAAGTATCAAGAAAAGAATTCCTTTGTTTCAAACACTGCATGAAAAACACTTACTACTAATGTAGAATGTAGGCCTATATTCATTATAGCTGTCCTCTCTATACTGAATTATTTTTTAAAACGTCTATTTAATTATGCTGTATATCAGTGTTTCCCAAATGGTGTTCTGCAGAACCCCATGCTTCCGTGAAGTGAAAATAAGGGTTCCACGAGAAAATCCATTACAATCATATTTTATGATTTTTTAAAAAAATAATAATTAATATTTAAGCATTTATGAATGTCATTGAATTTTCATTGTGTTTGCCATGATAAATATCCCTGTGTAATGCCAACTTAGCCAGAGTGGGGACGATGATGTCACTACTCAGCGCCACATGCACAGTCAGTCAGTAGTGCAATCGCCTGTTATATACCACTGTAAATCCCCATACCCACGCTCAGGGAGCGTGGATCACGTGGGCGGCTGAATAGACTAGCACCGCTTCGGACAAAATATTATTAGACTGTTATTAGGGGTTCCACAAAATTCAAAAATGTTTCGAGTTTAAAAGGGTTCCGAGGCCAAATAACATTGGGAAACACAGCTGTATATTAAAATTTGAAATGTATTGGCATAGAAATATTATTTTCTTCAAAGTATAAAACCAGCGAAGCTAGGCATTACAACAATTGCTTTGCTTATTCTGAAGGATACAAGAAATAATTAAGATATGTGCACAATGATGTTCAGTGGCTAAATAAATTAATGGGAAGCAATTGAGTTTTGACGATTCGTAACAATTTTTGTGTCATTAACAAAATTAACAAAATATAAATGTATATCTGTTAGAAATGCAACTTCTAATCAGCTAAACGCCATTCATTCTAGAGACTAAAATTCTTCTTTTTCCCCAAAATCACCTCTATGCCATCTCCCAGGCTGCTCTCTGTACCTGCAATGTCCTTTCTGACCCAGCTTTTTGCACAAACAATAATCCTCTAATTGCATAAAAACAACCCTTATTTCATGATGACAAAGTACTTAGCACATTGAGGCTACAACATGCAGAAGAAATTAATACTAATGCTAATTAATATTAATACTAATAGAAAGGTAGATAAATTTCCATGCTCAGATGTTCTTTCTGTACTTCAAAAGTAAGTGAGTTTAACAACTTTTAAATTCAACTGGGTTGGAAACATGAACTACCATAGTCTCTGTGGATGAAGTCAAACCATCCAGCTTGAAAAAAATATGTTTTCGTTCAGGTCTCCTCCAACAATTTTTACCAAATACATTTTTGGCCATCCCTTGTAAATTAAAACTATACTTGATCGCATTTTTCATTATGCTGTGACCTTGCCTGTTTTATGGCTGTTTCTTTGGCAATTAATACAATGATAGTCTATATTTTCTTCACACAGGAAGAAGGGGAGGGCTGGAAAATGGCTCCGAGTAATTTTCTTCCCATAATGGAGGAAGGAAACAACCAATATAAAGGTCAGTACAGGAAGATAATAATCCTAGCTAGAGCATTCTGATGAAGCTTAAATTGGATGCCATCAAAACAAAGTATGGAACATCATAGGAGTGTAAGCTTTAGACAAAGTAAAATTTGGAAAAAGATTTCCCCTGCACCTGTAATTTATTTTTGACTTTTATGGCTCCAATCATACTGTCCTCAGAAAAATCATGTGTGCTTATAGATAGTATTGACTGGCCACTAGATGGAAAGCACTATGTCACAGCTGAGGTTACAATAACATTCCTTAAATGTCTTACCCTCTTTGCCCTCTCGTTCATTGACCAGGCTGTTGATACGCTCTCCTCCACACTGGAGTGGGTCCACATTTTCTCAATGAAAATATTGGTTGTAGAAAGGTATCCTTTCAAAATGGAGATTTTTTCCCCCAAAAAAACGGGAAGCTTGAACATTTCCAGTTCCTGCACAGATTCTTTGCGACTTTTTTAAAAAGTCAAAACCATTCTTCAACCAGACATAGAATCTTTTCCTTCATAGAAAACTCAGCTTTGGGGGAATGAAAAAATTCAGCAACATTTTTGATAAAAAGAGTTTGAAATTTGCCAGTATTTTTTCAAATGTTTTAGCCAGCTCTGTTCTACCACCTTCTCCACACTTGTCCTCTTTGCCTGTCTTTCTGATCCAAAGCTTGGCAACACCCGTTAGTACTCAGAGGAGAGGAGCTAGGAAGGGTAGGACCTGAAGTCTACACAAAACCGCAATGAAACAGCCTTGCGGCCCAAGCCCCACGACCTCACATCACATAGCTCGGGGCTAGCTGCAGGTTTCTCGCTGCTGTGCAGACTTACCCCAAGAATTCCCCATCAAGAAGATCAAAAGTCTCTTGAGGTAAGATCCTGAATAGGGGTAAAGGTTTATGAGCCACAGTGTAAGCCTCAAAGGTGCAAACAAGCTGCAAGTCTCTGAACTTGGAGTAAAGGTGTGGAGTTTTGCTGTCTCTATTTCCGTGCGTTACCTTCCTCACGCGAAAAGTAAGTTTTAAAGTCTTCTTAACACTCTGCAGTGTTACTGACTTGCTCAGTTCCTCCTCTGAAGTCCTTTGTCACATTGAGTTGCCTTGGGTCAGCCATGAGGAAAACACGTTTCCAATTCATTTCCAGCCTGACACCAGCAGAGTCCTGCCCAGCCTCTTCCTTGTGAGCAAGAGGAATTTCTCTTGGAAATGATAAACCACAGACTGTGGCTTCATGGGAAGAATCAAAGGAGGGCTCAGAGCCCCTGAATAAGCACACACAGCTCCCACGAAATCAACAGCAGAGACACAGATGTGAGAACGGGAGAAATTTCTCCTCAGTGTGCAAGGAGCAAGTTTTGTGCCTGCTGCTTGGCAGGGCTGGGGCCACTTTGGGTCGTGTCCTTGCATAGGCACAAAATGCAAGCAAAGGGCATAAGTAATGTCTCCTCCAACAACCAGGAATCTCCTTCTGGGGCAACCCAGCTCTGTGCTGCCCCAATCACTACCTTTCAAGCCCTCCAAAATTATGTCTATTGAATGTCTATGGCTGTGTTGAAAAGACTGCTCCGCTACCAGTGTAAAAGGAAGAAATACCACAATGGCACGTTCCCCTCACATACCTGTCTTAGTTAACTCCTCTCTCAGCCCTCTAATGATGCCCATGCCACTAAGTGTAACTATTTAGGTTAATATGCATGGCTGGGTTCAGAGTACCGAGTCCAGGATATGGATGGGACGAGGGGAGACCTCCCAAATCTCACAGCTAGCCCTTTCCAAAAAATGTCCATTTGCTATTACTTCTTGCGAGCTGAGAAGGGGCAAGTTAATTGGCAAGAGTGTAACTGAAAACAGATGTGTACACGTTGCCATAAATTGTATGTGTAGCCAAGGTATGTTCCTTCTTAAATCTTCCCTAGCAGGATGCACTTGTAGGGGCTCCAAATATGCCGGGTTAGAGCCTTGATAAATGATATGACACCAGACCCACCAATGGGGGGAGAGGCAAAGGCGTCTACTGCCCTGGTGCCCAGTGATTCAAAAGGGCCCGGGGATCACAGCTGCAGCTGGCCCTTTAAGTAGCTGCCAGAGCGCTGCGTGGTGTGTTCTGGGCAGCACTGAGGGATGCCTGGGGAAGCCACACCCCAGCCCCGCCCCTTCCACCTGAGGCCCCGCCCCTTCCAGGGGCATGGAACGGGCCCCCACTCAACTTGCTCAGGAGCCCAGCCAGGTTGTCGGCCCCGCTGTATGACACATTGTGACTACACTGTGTACTGAAAATGCCTCCAGGAGCACTGAGACACACTGCTAGAGTCTCCTTCGGGGAAAGTGAAAGGACAGCCTGGGGTTCAGATGTAATCAGTGCACTTAACCACTGCATGTAGCACAAGCAGAAATCCTTAGAGAGGGAACAATAACTCCGACAAGATTCAAAGGCTCCTTTCGGGTATGTCCAAGATTAACGTTTTCACAGAAAAGTAGCCAGAGGTGACCAGTTTGGCCTCTCTTTACCATGTGTGGATTGAGAGTATTTGAACCCATGAAGATGTTTATGATCAGGCACATTTCATTGCTTTTCAATACGTTACTAATTTCTACAAACCTCACGTCCCTCATCTCTTTCACAACTAACCTTCAAGTCCACTTGTCAGGGATGGTGTAGATAACATTTAGTCCTGCCGTCAGGTCAGGGGACTGGACTAGATGACCTCTCAAGGTCCCTTCCAGCTCCGATTGTATGATTCAGTACAATTTACCACATAGGTATAGCCTTCTACATACGAATGCATAACGCACTATCCCTTCACTTAGTGTGCTCGGCAACTGTCATTTAAATCACCATTCACCAAAAATGTACTGTTCGTGTGTGAAGCATGGGTTTTCAAAATCTCAAAACCAGATCAGAAGCCGTCCCTCCCCCAAACATCTGAGGCACATCTCAGCAGTCACATTTTAAACACACTATTTCTTCTGCAGTAGAGTTACTCAGAAAAGGTCACAATTTTTTAATATTGGATTTGTTTCCCACTCTCCCCATCCTTGGAAGTGCTTACCTATTGTTTCTAGGAATTTTATGGAAATGTTTACAGTGAACAAGCCAAGAACATTCCCATCCAATTCGTAAGCGTTATGCCGAGTGACCAAAAGCAGATGCTTACAATGAAACCTTAACTGTAAGCGATGGCATCTACTTAAAACGCATTTTACACACACACCACAGATTACAAGTATCTGTGTAATCCCCTTGTGCTGTAGTAAGAGGAAAGCAACCTCTTCCAGAACACTGGGAATGTACTGCTTGCTTAACTTCTTGCTGTAGCACAAGTCGTGATCTGTTCTTGTGCCATTTTACCTAATAAAAGTACTTACATGGATCACCAAGCATCTCATATTCTTAACGTGTTTATCCTCTCGGGACCCTTGTAGGGCAGGGTTATTGCCTTTGTTTTTCAGAGAACAGACAGGCTAAATGACTTGCCTAGAGTCACATCAGATGGGGTCTCCTATAGCCCAGCCTAGCCATCTAACAACTGAGCCATGCTGCCTATGCGTGAGAGTGCTGTAACACTGTGGGGTGACATGACTTCATGTTTATCTTTCGCTGAAAGATCTCCAAGCAATGAGAAAGTTCGCTGTACAGGCTGATGCTGACAGCCAGGTTAGCCCCATGCTGAGCCTAACAGCCATGTAGAGATATAGATAAAGGATGTTATAGAGAAATCTATATCCATTTCAAAAAGCAGCAATTCGATTGCATTTCACTAAAACACACACACATTCCCATAGTTCACCGACCTTGTATGTAATTGAACACCATGCACTTTTGACCATACAAAGAAAACATAATGGCCTTAACCCTCCAACCTTGCTTTCCAAATACCTCAGAAACGTTTTTGACCTAGAAAAAAACATAGCGTCTCACACCTACACGTGACTGATCTATCTTCTAAAATTAGCAACCTCTGACCTAGTCACTAAGGGTACATCTACACAGCAGCACTATTTCAGAATAACAGCCATTATTCCAAAATAACAAAGAGCGCGTCTACACTGCAAGACGTTATTTCAAAATAATGTCGAGCTGGAAGATGTCTTACTCCAACTCCTGAAACCCTCATTTCATGAGGAGTAAGGGAAGTCGGAGGAAGAGTGCTCTTCCTTCAACTTCCTACTGTGTAGACAGCACCAAAAGCCAAATGAAGCTATTTCGACTTCAGCTATGCAATTGACATAACTGAAGTTGAGTAACTTAATTTGAGTTTGTCCTTCTGTGTAGACATGCCCTAATTTAATCCTCAGGGTACATCTAGACTGGGGAGGGTGGTTCAGGTTACCTTTGGTATCCTGAAAAAACTCTGCCACATCCAGGGAATTAGTATGCTCTTCTGCTTTTTTTTTTTTTTTTTTTTTGGCAGAAAAGCAGACGTGCTCTTTCAGAAGCCCTGTCTTCCTCATTCTACGAGGAAGAAGGGATCTTCTGAAAGAGGAGTTTTTTCTGAAATTTGGCCCAGAGTAGACAGGCCAGATTTTGGAAAAGCCTCTTCCGACAAAAGTATCAGAAAAAGGTACGCAACTTGCACTCCGCAATTTGTGTCCCTTTGTCCGAAAAACCATCGTAGTGTAGACATAGCCCCAGTGAGCCAGTTGCCAAGTAATATCAAGAAAGCCTAGTGGTTAGGGTTGTGTCTACACTGCAGGGCTTAACTCGAAATAAGCTATGCAAATTGAGCTATGTCAATTGCGTAGCTTATTTCAAAATAGGGAGTGTCTATACGGCACTTATTTCGAAATAGAGCACTCTTCCCCCGACTACCCTTACTCCTCGTACAGTGAGGGTTACAGGAGTCGGAGTAAGAAGTCCTCCAACTTGACAGTAGTTTGACAGTACTTCGAAATAACTGCCTGTGGTATTGATGTGGACTAAGTTATTTCGGAATAGCGCTAGTTATTTCAAAATAGTGTTGCAGTGTAGACATTCCTTAAGGTGCAAGAAGGAGGTTGTCTCTGATTTGTCTGTAGGGCCTATTACCTACTAATCCATGTATAGAATGACAAACAATTAGGAAAAATGAAATAAAAAATGTGGCTTGGCCTATGAAAAATAAATACCCAACGCTTAATGTTCCTGTGAAACCATTGCACTTACAACCTGTTGACCCAGCCCGGAAAAGGTTTAAACATTCACCTTTCTTCTATATAATATCCCCTTTCCCCAAGGCTGAAATTTAAACTAGAGTAACCCTAGAGGAAGTGCCTTCTGACTGGGGTAAGTCAACCTTTCCTGTTGAAATATTACATGACATCAGTCATGCTGTTTGACAGACCTGGAGTCATTTAAAGAAACTGATGTTGATACCTTTGTATTCCTTCCCTCATTACCAAAAAATCCACTGTCCTCCTTAATCTTTACTTTTTTTAGCTATAACATTAAGACTTTTCACCTGCAAAAACTATTCCCTAGGTATAAAACCACACAAGCTTGGCACATAATCGGCATTCAAGAGAATTCTCAGAAGGGAGAGATAGCAGCCTGCCTTATATTAACTAGACTAACCCTTGCATGGTCTCCTGGGGGTGCTAGGAATATCTTTCTCAGTTAATAGAGTCTTAGATGCTGCAGAGGTTCGTGAAAAGAGGAAGGCCATGAAAACCAGCTTCATAAAGGAGTCTGTGTTTTAAGGCGGAAAAGTGAAATTTTAAATCATCTGGAACCGGAATGAATGCATACTTCTGGGGATTAGCTGTCCTTACACAGATGCTAACGGGGTTAGAATGTAGGGGAACTCAAGGTATGGTGTGGTCCTTTGAAAATGATTTGAATCTATCAAAAGAGGAGATAAGGAGGTCCCCTTGTTAAATGTGTGCCCTTTGTTTATACCACCACATTCAAACAAAGGGCTTTCCAAATTTCAATGTACTTTTCTGGAAAACAAAAGACCTTTAAAATATTTGCCAAGTACAATCATTCAGTACAGATAGTCCCTGACTTACAAACGAGTTACGTACCAAACACTTGGTCGTAACTCGATCTGTTCGAAAGTTGGACTCCATTCATTTAAATGTGACCGCGCTGTTCGTAAGCGCGGATCGCACATTCGTAACTCGGGGACTGGCTGCAATGTGCTTAATGGGAGGTTGGTCGTAAGTACGAATGTTTGTAAGTCGATGCGTTCATAACTCGGGGACCACCCGTACTTTATCATAAACAGAAATTGCACTTCTCCCTTTCCTCCCCTCAGACGTGGTTGTCTGCTTACTGCTTGCACTTGGCCCACACAACACTTAAGTGCTGTCATATCAGTTGGACTATGTGACTCGTTTTTAGAATCCCTCCACTGCCTCTCCCTGGCTTCTTGCGTAAAGTCTGAAATTCTTGTCCTCCCCTTCAACATTCTGCTGCACCCATGTTCCCCTTTGCTCCACCAGTGAGGCCCGTTCTGTCTTCATACCACTTTCTGTGCCACTCCTCATGTGCAATGGCTTCCCAAGCCACGCGCCGCATCTTCGTTCCCCAGACTCACTTCCGCTACAAGGCACAAACGTTATCTCCCAGCTCTCAGATGTTCTCCCCATCTCATTCTCTCCCATCGAAGCTAGCACCGTATTTTGTAAGTGGCCAAGGGTGAATGACGCTCATGACATGTTGCTGTTTTAAATTAAACCTGTACCTCGGGTCTCCCGGCTGGTATTATCCTTTCTGGGTCAGTCTTTCAGACTCTGTGTGCCTTCAGAGGGAGCGATTTTTGGGGCTGCCCCATGGCTCCAGTTTAAAACTTGAGACGGTACGCAAGCGGAAGTCAGTGGAGGGATTCCAAAGAACAATGGCATGGTCTAACTCACTTTGGCACTTGCAACCTCAAGGACTAATGGTATAAACACAAGTGGTGATACTCTAGGGATTAGAACTTGCAACCTGTAAGTGACCATCTCATTAGCCATACTATGCCCCTGAACTCCAATACCAAACTATAGTCCAAGGCAAAGAAAGCCAACTTGGCCTTTCACAGAGCCTAGCAATAGTGCTCGGATCTTGCTTGGCGTCTCTAGGATCTGCTACTTACAAACAATTAATAAGAATTTCAACCACCCCATTTTTTTTCTGATGACATCTAGGAAAACCCATATCTTCTGTAACTTTTTGCCCCCCTTTCTTTGCTTTGGGATACCAGATGTTTGGCAGAACAGAGATGAGCAGTGGAATTTCTCCCAGGAGTATGACCCAGAACTGGTCAAAGAGGAGAAGCGGAAAGAAGTGGAGGAGGAGATCAGACTGCAGGTGAGCTTACAACAAGAGTAGGGCTTCTGTAAGAATGGCTCTTGCCTGCCTGGGCTTTTCTCTAGTTGTAAGGACTGGCCTTGACACTTAGTCCTTGCCTCCAGTTAGGGCTCCCCAGTCCATTCTTTTCCTTCAGTGTTTGGCCGAGTATTTGTCTGCAGAGTGATTGAAGGGGTGTGGCTGCCACAAGAAACTATGGAAACCCATGAAAAAAATCAACCATGTGTCTGTCTGAACAGGTGGATGAGCTGATGCGACAGGAACTGAAGAATCTGAAACTGGCAGTGGACAGAGAGAAGGACAAAAACCAGAAAACGGGGAAAAAAGGGAAAAAAGGTGGAAAGAAGGTAAGTGCAGCAAAGGGCAGGAAGCCGGCGTAAACTGCCATGCTCTGCCCTTCAGGTCCAAGGGGTTCTAACGAATCTCCTTCGGCGGGTGTGTGATGAATCGTTGGTCACAAGAGTTCAAAAGCATCTCGCAGGGAAACTGATTTCTTAGGCAGTTTTGTCTGATTTGCTTTCCTGGACATGTTTTTAGCTGGCCGTGTTGATGAACCCATACATTTTGCTGTGATTTTGTTAGGGAGAGGCAAACCATGCTGAGGGACTTTCAGAGGGGTGGCTGCGTTAGTCTGTAGCTAGAAACATTTAATAACAAATAGTCCTGCAGCACCTTAGGGTATGTCTACACTACCCCGCTAGTCCAAACTAGCGGGGTAATGTAGGCATACCGCAATTGCAAATGAAGCCCGGGATTTGAATTTCCCGGGCTTCATTTGCATAAGCGGGGCACCGCCATTTTTAAATCCCCGCTCGTTCGAACCCCGTGCCGCGCGGCTACACACGGCACGAACTAGGTAGTTCCAACTAGGCTTCCTAGTTCGAACTACCGTTACTCCTTAGTTCAAACTAGGAAGCCTAGTTCGAACTACCTAGTTCGTGCCCCGTGTAGCCGCGCTGCACGGGGTTCGAACGAGCGGGGATTTAAAAATGACGGCGCCCCGCTTATGCAAATGAAGCCCGGGAAATTCAAATCCCGGGCTTCATTTGCAATTGCGGTATGCCTACATTACCCCGCTAGTTCGAACCAGTGGGGTAGTGTAGACATACCCTTAGAGACTAACAAAACATGTAGATGGCCTCATGATCTATCGTGGACACAGCCCACTTCCTCAGATGAAACATTCTGAGGGGAACAACTCCCCAGTACTGCCCTGATTTTCAAGAGCACTCTGAACCCACAGCTCCAGCTGAAGCCAGCGGAGGGTGCATTGTCTGCACCTTTGAAAATCACTCTCTCTTCCGACCCGGCTTGATTCGGATGAATATGATGGGTTAATATGATGCAATTAAGGCGTGGGACTGGGAGCTAGTCGGTTTTCCGTGGAGCATGTACTCAGCGTGTTAGCAGGTCCCTTTAAGTTGTCTCCAAATGGACATTCACAACCCAACACAACTGCTACTTGCTTTTGAAACTGACACCCAAGTGGGTGCATGTTATTTCAACGCATTCCACTCGCTACTGAAGAATTTAATGCACTTAAACCACATTTATTTAGCAAAAGGAAATAAGCGAGCAGCATTGATTAGTATATTAGACCTACTGACTCATGGAGAATACAGCAGTGCCGGAGTGCTTCAAAACAAGGGGCGCTAGAATGCAGGGCCGTGGGAAGCGCCAGGAGGGAGCCCCAAGGAACAGGGAGAGCTAGGAGGAAGATGGGGCCGTGGTAGAGCTGGGAGAGGTTGAATGGAGCAGGGGATGGATTCCCTGCAGTTGTCCTGTCCCACGTCTCCTTGCCATGCCTGACTTCTACTCCCCTTGGGAAGTATTAAAACAGATCCCAGGTTATATAAAAAGTCCCAGAACAGCACTCTGAAGTCTGCTGGCACAGCCTGAGTGTTTACCTCAAGTTTTGCAGCACTACCGCACGCAGAGAACTTCACGCTGGAATGCTCCTTTGAATTACACATGCACTTTTATTTTACCCGCAGATTTAAATCCCGAATAACAGTAGTCCCACGGTCATTCAGCATTTACAGAAGGGAGCAGCATTTCAGTTATAAGTGCTGAGGGCAAACAGCAAAACCCGAATCTTTGCTGTTTCAGCATCACTCTTGCAATTGCAGTCTTTCTTGGGACAGCGTAGTCCTTCTCGAGAGTTAGAATACTCTTTGCACCTGACAAAAAGAAATCAGGGCAATTTAAGATAGTGTGTTTGAGACATCTTTAAAAATTAATAGATGAAATAGATGAATAGATGAAAACTACATAGGCCCAGTTCAAAACATGCCCGTGTAAATGTAAAGTGAAGGCAATGCACAAAAAAGTGCGGTTACAGTGACTCTGCGCGGAAAATGGATATTTCTATCCGGCCCATGGCAGTTAAGACCCCTCAGTTCCCATTGTGCACACAATCTCCCCCCGTTCTTCCACAGCCAGTCACTGGAGTGAGGCTCATGGACCTTAGGCTGCATTTTTGAGAATCTGAATGTCTGGAATGGGCACAATGGGGAATGGGAGCAGCCAGGAAGCAGCTTGCCAAGTCGCTGCTGAAGAATACTAAGTTATTCTGTAGCAACTCTTCTGTCTGATCAAGGGCCAGTGTTGGCAGACCCAGCTAGTCCTTCCCCTAAAGGAGCCAGGGCCTCTGCACCAGGTGATATGAACCAGGGGATGTTTGTAGATTTCACGGTGCCAGGGAAGACTAAGCGACGCCAGATGTAAAACAAATGTTTCAAGGGGGTTAACCTGCCTTGCACACAGCATTCCCAAGACAACTCCTGTAGAGACCAACGCTTGTTTCTACGTCCAGTGAGCAGTGGGAAGTTGGCAGTGAGTACAATATCTGTCAAGCTGAAGACCGTGAAGCAGAGTTCATGTTCTTTTGTGGGGCATGCTCCGTTTTTGTCAGGCCACATTTCTTGAGACTCCCGACTGCAGCTTTTTGAAAGAATTTTTATCTCTTTGGCTTTACAACGACAGTCTGGCAGGTTTTAGTGCTACTCCTCTTTGGCTCCTGGGAGTAGACACACCAGGACCAGTGTGCAGGTCGAAAGCGCCATTGTAGTTTCTATAGCGGCGCGCTAAAATAAGTAATCACAGATTGAAAAAAATGCCGAGAATGAGAACAAGAAAATCTCTCCACTCCAGACATACATCCTTCCCAGAATCCCCCTTTTTTGAGGCAGCTCACCTTGATACACACTGAGAGGTATAAGCACCCTTGAGAATGAACACTGGGGAAGGCTGTTCCTCATTGTAACACTGTATGGGTGCATCTATTTTCATTTATGTATTTATTTTTCACTGGAGAAAAGATGCCCTTAAACATGGATTTTAAAAGTTTGATTCTTTCAGACATCCCATCTGAGTGAGGGGGAATTTGAGAGTAGCCTTCAACTACCTGAGGGGGGTTTTCAAAGAGGATGGAGCCAGGCTGTTCTCAGGGTTGGCAGACGACAGAAAAAGAAGCAATGATTGTACAAACATTAGGAAAAACTATATCCCTGGGGAAGTGGTGAAATCTCCATCCTTATTGTAAATATTTATCACAAATTAATTGATCAATGATCTGGAAAAATTAGCAAGAAACTACTGTAAATGTTGAATCTAGACAAGGACTCAGATTGCATGGGCATGTGTTACTTGTAGCATAGTTCAAATATAAAGGTACGTCTAGACTACAGGCTTTTGCCAACAGACGCTTTGTCGACAGTACTGTCAATAAAGCTTCTGTCGACAAAGAGTGTCTAGACTACAGCCAGTTCTGTCAACAAAGCAAGCCGCTTTGTCGACAGAGAGTCTAGACGCTCTCTTTTGAAAAAGCATAGTGTGGATGCAATAGCGCCTTTTGTCAACAGAACTCTGTCGACAAAAGGTGTTATTCCTCGTAGAATGAGGTTTACCACCATCGACAAAACTGCCACGTTCTATCGACTTACTGTCGACAGAACTCGGCAGTAGTGTAGATGCAGGCATAGTTTTGTTGACAAAAGTCCACTTTTGTCGACAAAACCGTGTAGTCTAGACACAACCTAAGAGTTTCACAACTGATCTCTGACCTAACACACTGGGTGGCAGCCCACCATACTAGCATTAGCCAGACAGACTGGAGAGATATCTACAGGCTTGTCTATATTGTACCCGCTGCATCTACAGCACTTTGGGGTGCAGCTGTGTAGTCCAGACTGCAGGGCAGTGTAGCCACAGCCGTGGGACACTCAGTGCTCAGGTACAGTGCTGTGAAGCCACACTGCAGTTGCACAAGGCCATTGTAGTAACGCTTGACATCTGGAGAGAAGATATATTTGCTGCTGTGATTCATTTCAGAATCTGCTTCTGAGCTGCACTCAGAATCCTGCTTCAAACTGATTCTGGGTGTGATTACACCTGACCTGCACACAGCCCAGTTAGTGATCGCTCATTAAAGAGACAAGACCTTGCGCGTCCCCCACTTAGGAGTGAAGATAAGGCACCATTAGATCAGCCTGAACCAAATGTAGATTTATTATGCAATAAAGGATATGCAAGTGGAAAATAGCCAGCAATAAATGGGACACCTACAAAGTGGTTAGGGGATGGAACAGACGTACACATTTGAAGGTAAAATGGGTTTTCATAACTGATTAGCCTGCTTGCATTGAATAGACAGGTAAAGCAGCTGTCAGCAAGATATATTTTGTAGGAAAGCCACAGTCTAATTTCCTCTTGTGCTTGCCAAATTTCCCAGAAACGCTGATGTGAATTAGGAAAACACATTTTCCATATGACAAATACTCTTTTTTTTCAAGCCTTTGAGTTGGTTTACTGTTGAAAATGCTCTGAAGAAGCTACCCATTGGCCAATAAACTCACCATATGTTTGGAGTCTTTCTAAAGAACAAAATCATCTTTTCTTCCCAATAATTCCCCAGGAGGTTATAATTTCTTCCAACTTCCTAAAAAAATATAAAGAAACAATGCTAGAGAAGCACTGGCAATAACCCAGTATCTCTGCAGACTCCCAGTTGCTATTGTAGTGTGATGCATACTCTTCTGATGACATCACCAACAGAGCATGTTCTTGATTTATCGAACTACACACACTGCTAGGCGTTAGCTACAGCAAGAAGGCTGTGCTATAGAGAGCTCTGAATATTTGGACATGTTTGTATTATTCCAATGCAGGTCCATTAAAAAGGTTAGCTTTCTCCAAATGTCTCTTATCTACATAGCTCTGACTTTGTCCAGATTATTTACCCTGTGGTATGAACAGTAACAGGTGATTTGAACAATAGATTATCTAACGTACAATCTGGTCTTCAGAGAGTTTGAACTGATTCATGTCTACTCTTTGCTGATTTAGTTCAGGAACAATAGTATTTTCCAGAAAGCAAGACAGGTTTGTTTTTTTTAAAAACGGTGTCACCTCTGGAGCGCTGCAGAAGGGTAATTCAATAGAAGAATAAATAAATTCACGAGTAGGAGGCTAGATAGTATCGTCTTCCCAAGGTTGGCAGAAGCAAATCGTTTAAGCTCACGCCTGTGTAACTGCCACCGGATGGATTTGAACCTAGGATCTGTGAAGCTGAGTATAAGAGCCTCTACTCTCTGAGCTAAAAGCCAGCTGGCTTCCCAGCCCATGCGGTAGAGGTCTTTTGGTCTTAACCGTTGCTATGGTCTGGGCACCACTGCATGGGACAGTGAACCACACTAGGTGTGTGGGTTACACCTGCCTTTAAGTGTGTGGAGCAGTCCCATGGACCTCAGCACGACTAATCCCAGTAGCTCATGCTTAAGCGCTTTGCTGGACTAGGCTTAGTACACCAAGATCTACCATCTCTGGGTGTGGCGCACAAGAATGAACCAACTGCTGTCCTAATTAACTGTTGGGTTGAAATGTGTAAATACATTTGTGACTTCTCATGGCAATGGAGAGAGCCAGTGTATGTGATTCCCATCCTTGTGTTGATTTGTTTCCCACGAGGGCTTTGCAATGAGTGAGGCAGCCATGTACACAAATGTAGTCTTCGCATACCGCTTCCGTTACAGTGGTGAAAATCCCCAGAGAAGACCTGCACCAGCCATCCTGGCCACAGACTACTTCTTCCCTGAGGTGTTATGAAGGGGAGGCAGGAAGGAGTTTAATGATTAGGGCACTAGTCTGGCACTCCAGAGACTGGGATTCAATTCCTGGGGGATCTCAAGCAAGTCATTTGGTCTCCTGTGTGCCTCAGTTCCTTTTCTGTAAATGGGAATAATACTTCCCTATCTATTCCTCAGATACGACAGTGGCAAGGGCCACATTGAAATACATAAACAGATAGTGGGAAAACAAATACAAATACTGCAATATTTAGGGGGTTTAAAGTTGTATCGGAAAGTTTTGCATCAGTTCCAATAGTACTGAGATATACCAGTCAGCTATAGCCCTGCTGCTTATGTCATTAATTACTGTCTGCATTTATGGTCCCCAGAAAAAGAAAAAAGGAAAGAAAAGTGGAAAGAAGAAAAAGGAGAAGGATTTGACTCCTGACAGGTAAAGAATGCTCCTGGTCCCCCCGAGAGTCACATAATGACAAAATTGTGTATCCTTTAAATGTGCCACACTGCCAAACCATTTTTTTTCATTTGTTTAATCGAAAAAGGACAATGTCAGAACTGGTAGCTTTACATTTCAACCCACCGGTGTCATGGACCCTACATGCCTGAAGAACCCTCCAATAATAAAACCATTTTCATAATAGCTATAAACATCCCCAAAAGCCTAGAAAAGAGAACAAACCCATCATGACTTTGCCAAATGTTCATGGTAGTCTCTTTGAAACGTTTCAAAGTAAAACTCATTTTGGCATTGTCGGGAAAGGCTACCTTCCCTCTTAATGGATAGCTCAGCGGTGCTACTCATTACAACACAAATGCAGCTTTGCGGTGTATGTTGTACAAAAATGACCTGTACTCTGTGTGTTTTCCTTTTATTATATTGTTTTCAATAGTTTGTACAAGCCAACGCCCTGATCCTGTAAATACTTAGGCATGTACTTCAACAGCCAGGCTTCACTGATGTCAGTGGGACTACTCACAGTGCATAAACACAACATGAGTGCATGTCTTTTCAGGGTCTTAGACTCAGCTCTTCACTGAAAGCCCTTTTACTATTATTCCTCCTGCCCTTCGTCCCACTGACAGGGGCAGGAATACCTGGCAGTCTCCGTTGTCTATCAGATTTTCCATCCAATTTAACGTCTCTGAGAAGAGTGGGCTGTAGCCAGCTCTAATAAAAACCACACTAAAACCACCCTTTGTATCTCCTGTAAAACATACTTGGCATAAATCAGTTTTATTTCTTGTCTGACTCACGTAAGTTCTTGAGGGCACCTTAAAATGTGCTAAATATTTCTGTTCCAAGGACAGAGTTTCTTTTGCTTGAGGCGTTCAAGCAAATTCCGTGTTTACACACTTGCATTCAGCATTTACACCGTACGTCTCCTGATGATCTGCCCCTTTTTCATTTTGCATAATACAAACCTGTGCTGAGTTACCACAACAGTCAGCCACTTACCTTGGAGCAGCATGGAACAGGGCCAGGTGGATCTCCTACGGCAGCAAGACCCAAGAGCACTGTAGAGACAAATATGCCCAGGACCTGGTGGAAAGAAGCATCTTACATTTTGATCCAATCCTATTCACTAGGGGTACGTCTATCCAATCCTATTTGATCCAATCCTATTCACTAGGGGTACGTCTACACTACAACGTTAATTCGAACTAACTTAGTTCGAATTAGTTAATTCAAGCTAAGCTAATTCGAACTAACGGATCCAGACTAAAAAACTAGTTCGAATTAGCGTTTTGCTAATTCGAACTAGCATGTCCACATTAAGTGGACCCTGAAGCGGGGTTAAGGATGGCCGGAAGCAGTGCCGGCAGGGCATCAGATGAGGACTTAGAGCGTGGAGCTGCTGTCTCAGGCTAGCCGAGGGCTGTGCTTAAAGGGTCC